AAAGAGCTCTGTTGGGATGGAGTGTTCCATAAGACCACCTCGTGGCTTTCCGGGTGGTAAACAGTTATATACAACTACTCGTGGTCTATCATGATTTTTTCCTGTCCTTGCTGACCCCTGGATTGAATAAATTGGGGGTGGTTTGCTTTTCAAAATAAGGAACATAGTCCACCTACTGCACTGTCTCCGGAGCATCATTCCTCGGGACTCTACAACATGAGTTCTCCACCATTTCTCCTGGTGGAGCATGGGAGTCCTTATCCTCTTAGTTTCCAGTTGCTGGAGTGATGAACAGAGGTATCTTCCTCCTGAGTAATGCTAGAACACATTATTCCACTCAAGGAGAAGAGGGTGAAGCTGGGTGCCCTCCTACCAATAATTCTGGATGGTTTGTCCAGATGTATGATGGGAGCAGGACCAGCCTATCCATGAGCCTCCTTGTAATTCCTGTTCAGAGATAACACTTCGCTATCTGGTTGAGTCAAGCATGGCCCTTCTTTTTGGTCAGTATCTTCAATTCCTGTGCCATTGGTTGGACTTAGTTTGTTCCACATTCTCTTATGAAAGGAGAATACTTGAAACTTTTTTTAAAGATTGGTTTGCACTTTATATTCTTTAAATGGAGTTTTTTGTGTCAGTAATTTCAAACTACTGGTTGCAGTTATATACTCTAATTAAGGTCTTGGAAAAATTCAGGTTCTGGTTGGGTAATCAGTAATGTTTTAAGTTTTACCACACACACGTTTTATAATAATATGTTAACTGACAATTTCGTTTTTGTCCAAGTTTAGAAGTTAAAACCAACAGTGTCACATTAGCAGATGGGAAAATTTTACCTTGTGGTCTTGTTGTCTGGAGTACAGGCTTAGCCCCTCGACCTTTTACGCACTCCATTGATGTACCAAAAAATAAGCAAGGTCAGGTAAGTATTTCATTTCATTCTGTATCAAGAAGTATATGAACATATGATTGAAAAAAAAGATACTTTTTGTTTAAAATCTTATATTTTATTAACAAATCAACCTGAATATGATCCACGGTTACTTGATGTATATTAATACTTTCAACATGCAGACAGACAGACATATATATATATATATATAAAACATTATTATAAAAGTTAGTTTGATCAACAAAAAAATATGTTAATGAAGCAGGTTTGTTTATGCTCTAAAAGTAGAATGTTAATATGTTAACATCTTTTTAAACAATGATTTCCAACAGATTCTTACCAATGAATATCTTCAGGTGCTTGGAGATTCTTCTGGGTCTGCGTATGCTCTAGGAGATTGTGCCGAGATTCGGAAACTTCCTCTGCCATGTACAGCTCAAGTAAGAGACTTCATAAATATTTCAAGTGGAATATTAAGTACCTTTCTAAATAAAAGGATAGTATTATAAATTTGTTTTGCCTTTTCATGTACTAGCCTCAGACTAGTAAGCATAAGAAATATACTTGCCCATGCATATTTGTAACAATGACTAGAGTGCCATCTATCATTTAAAACTTTGAAGTATCAATCTAATCACAATGAAAAATAATCATTTCGATTAGAAAATGCCATAAATGTGAAACTACAAATTGGACATTTTAATATACATGTCATTAGTTGAATCATAAATGTGTGTTTGTATATCAAGCATATTATTGATTAGTGTATTATTGATCAATAAGATACCGATCTTTTACTATTTCAGTGGCAGTAGATATTTGGCCCGGCATGGTCAGGTAGTTAGGGCACTTCACTCACAATCTGAGGGTCACGGGTTCGATTCCCTGTCCCACCAAACGTGCTCGCCCTTTCAGCCATGGGGGTATTATAATGTGACAGTCAATCCCACTATTCGTTGGTGAAAGAGTAGCCCAAGAGTTGGTAGTGGTTAGTGATGACTAGCTGCCTTTCCTATAGCCTTTCACTGCTAAATTAGGGACGGCTAGCACAGATAACCCTTGTGTAGCTTTGCACGAAATTCAAAACAAACCAAGTAGATATTTAATGACTTTAAAGTAAAAATAACAACAGGAAGAATTTTTGTAAGTTCAAATAATTAAATATATATTTTACATGCATGCACACATTTCTTGAAAGCAAAACTGCACTAGCTCTGGACTAGCATGTATAGAATTCACAGTAACCTAAACTAAACTTTTCATAGTTCCCAGTGTCTGGCTAATGGAGTTTTATACCACCACTTTTACATTTATACTTATTTAATTGTCTACTAACAGTCTTCTGTGTATTCGGTGAGTAAAATATGTTTACAAGTCAAAGTATATTTTTGTAAATCTAGTAGAGCCTCAAAAAGTACCTTCTGTTTTCTTTACACAGTTAAAACCTACCTGAAAGATGCAAGTAATTTAAAAAAGTCGAGTATCGTGGAGAAAACAAGAACTACATAGTAACTTTTATAAACATATATGAAGAAGGAAGAGTTGAGAAAACCTAAATTAAATGTTCAACCTTTTGACTTTGTAGTCAAGTTTTCATTAGGAAGTTTTAAATCAACAGCCTACACAGTTTGGTGCATTTAGTCTCTATTTAATACAATTGTTTTCTGTAGCTCCATTTCTTAAGATGTTTGAGGTTCACTGGAAACTATCTAATGGTGAAGAATAGTGTGAAATTATATAAATTGTTTTATCTTTATAAATAGTAAACATTTATAGATTGATGAATAAGCTAAGTAGTATATATACACACACACACAATATATATATATATAGAGAGAGAGAGAGAAAGAAAGAAGCTGTTAGAATAAGTAAGGAAATTGACATATTAGATAACATAAACATTAGATTGGTGTTCCTAAACATAATAAATAAACTGCTTTTAGGGTTTGAGTCAGGGTAACCAAATATTGCGTAAAAAATAGGTGATATGTTGAAATTTAGATTATACAATCCTAGGTTGCTGAGAGACAAGGCAGGTACCTGGCTCACTGTTTAAACAATGTTACATCGGTTAATCAGCTACAACCATTCCAGTTCAAAAGCATGGGTATGTTGGCCTACATTGGTGGATATAAGGCTCTTTCTGACCTTCCAGAAGTGAAACTTCAAGGTAAGATTTAAAGTAATGTGGCACCTTAAAAGAACAGTGTCATGAGTTTAAAACTAGTTCTACAGTTCTTGTATGCATTATATCGAGCTAACGGTAACTACTTAACAGATGATCATATAACAAACTGGGTTGTTTTAAACTCAGTGTATGTCTTACTGATCTTTTCAAAGTTGCTACATTTACTTCCTGTTCCTATGTCATCAGCCACTGATTCAAAGTTTTAATGTGTGTGTGTGTGTATAATGAAAAAGATTTTCATCAGTTATTATGTAGATTAGGGTTCTGCAGTTTTGTGCTAGTGATAAGTCGCACAGAGTCTTAGGTGTCATCTCCTAAACTGGATGTTAGTTATTGATGAAAAAAAAAAGTATCAAAACTTCATTCATCTTTAATGGTATTAACCCTTTACTTTTTTCAGTCTTATTGCGCTCAGAATCATCATCAGCTTGCACAAATTCAATTGTCTCTTCAAGTGTGAAGACACTGGAGCAATTTGATGTTATTTGGGGTTTGTTTACTCATAAAAAAAATTAAATAATTTCAACTGTACTCAGGTAGTATGTAAAAATGTCTAGGCCCCTACTCCAGATCCAACACAACACTCTAATACTTTATACATGTATTCAAGTGGTATGTAAAAATGTCTAGGTCCATACTCCAGGTCCAACACAACAATCTAATACTTTATACATGTACTCAGGTGGTATGTAAAAATGTCTCAGCCCCTACTCCAGATCCAACACAACACTCTAAAGCTTTATACATGTACTCAGGTAGTATGTAAAATGTCTAGGTCCATACTCCAGATCCAACACAACACTCTAAAGCTTTATACATGTACTCAGGTGGTATGTAAAAATGTCTAGGCCCCTACTCCATATCCAACACAACACTCTAATACTTTATACATGTACTCAGGTGGTATGTAAAAATGTCTAGGTCCGTACTCCAGATCCAACACAACACTCTAATACTTTATACATGTACTCAGGTGGTATGTAAAAATGTCTAGGCCCCTACTCCAGATCCAACACAACACTCTAATACTTTATACATGTACTCAGGTGGTATGTAAAAATGTCTAGGCCCGTACTCCAGATCCAACACAACACTCTAATACTTTATACATGTACTCAGGTGGTATGTAAAAATGTCTAGGCCCCTACTCCAGATCCA